ACCAAAAAATGGACGAGTACCTATAGGGAAATAAAAATTATCGACCGTAAATCTTAAACCGGCATCAATTTCAAAATTTTTTTTCTGAATTGCGGCAACCATTTGCCGTGTTAAGCTTATTTTCGGACGAATATTACGCTTTAAACAAATTATAAACCATATTAAAGCTAAAATACCGCGTTATTAAATTAGAATATTAAATTGGTGTAACCGTATTAAAATAATTGTTTCAGAATGGCGAAAACGTTTTATTTTTGGATACATTTTTTTATTAGTTATAATTTCATAGTGCTTGCCTAAGGCTCAAAATTTCTCAAGTATGCCACTTAAAAATTGATGCTATCATTTTCCTCGGTTTTCAATCGGTTTAAAAAAATAGAATAAGCTTTCATATGGATTTTTCTATTTTAAAACATACTGGTAAAGTTTTCGTTTTTTATTGTCTGCTTAATCGATATAATACAAAAACCAATACTTATACTTATTGAAACTTTTTTTAAATTTATTTTAAGTTAATGATACTATTTCTTACAGCTTTATAATAAATTTAAAAAATGAATATATATATATATATATATATTTAATATATTTGATTTACCCATTGACTTTATCAATAAGAATGTAGAATTTTGGACACAGGATGAAAGCTATCAAGATAATCTAGTATTTTTCAAACGTCTTAGCGTTTTCAATGATGTAGCAGAAAGAGGAATGCATTAATAGAAGAGTACAACAAATGTTTGATTTTAAGATAGTACAAGTTATGGAATAACTTTTTTTATTTTAATTGATCTAAATCCAGTATAGAAAAAAAAAAACGGTTTTTCACGATTATTGATATTTCGTAAAAAATGTATTGTTTTACCGAAGTACACTCGATAAACTTCACAAAAAATATATTTCATGTTTTTGAGCCAATATTTCGTAATAGAGTATGAAAAACTATAAAAGTCATCATTTACTATTTGAGGTTGAACTTTAAACTTTTAAACGAGTCGACTAAGCAAAAAATCATATCAGCCCTTTTTTGTAGATCGTTCAATTCCCTACAAGAATATGTATTGATTTCTACAACTCACTGATTAGTTAAAACGCAATAAAATTACAAACAAAAAATGTTTTTTTCACGTGTTATTTAAACGGAAAATAAAAAATCGCAATGAGCCACCTCTTTATATCAATATTAAGAGCTCAAACTTAATCAGAATTTTTTTTTTCGTCATCTAAGACAATATTTTCATGGTAACTATAGAAAAAAAAATTAAAAGTTTTTTTTGGCCCACCCTAATATATATATATAATATATAGGTATATATATATATATGTATAAATATAACCTACGAACTTTTTAGCGTCCATACATTTAAAAATTATATACTATTCAGCGTCCACCGTCATTGAGCATCCGTATACGGACGCTGAACGGTAATTCCGTGTTAATTTGGATCCTAACAATAATATTGTTATAATAATATTACTATAATAATATTATTATAATAATATTATTATAAAAATATTATCGGCATGTGCGCTAGATGTTTGCAATCTTTTAAATATTACAGAATTTTGCATTAAAAAATCTGTAGTCTGTGTTGGTAGTTATTTTTTATATAAACGGATGCTGAAATGTCGTACTTTGGGTCAGATTTATACAGAAGTAGTTAAAACAATTTTCATCGGTAGCGCTGCAGTCGTATACGTATATTGATATACTTATGCATTATAATATAGTTCGGCGTCCTCCAATTTGACAACGCCGCTAAAAGACTTTGTGGGTAAATTAAAACTTACTATATACCTCCGCTTGCTATCACCATTTGGTAATTTTTATATACGATATATATTGTTTATTTTAAAATTTAAAAGTAAGGTTAGGTAAGTACTGAAAGATACTTTTTTCCACGTATAAAAAAATGGAGAATTGATCAGTATACAGGGAAAAACAAAAATTTTTTTTCAACCTATATATGAATTTATTTTAGATTCCTAGTAAAATTCCAAGCATAATTCATATAACATACCATATACCTAAATTCAACCGTTTCTGAAATATTTGCATTTGAAACGTTATCATCAAATATTTTTTTAAACTGTTACAAATCAAGAAGCCTCAAAAAAATGTTTATTAATAAATAACTATAGTGACATAATATGTCAATATTAATAGTTAAGTGAGTATAAATGCCGTACTGGGACAGAAAAAGAAAAACTATTTTAACTTATTATCTTAAAAATAATTTAAATATTTCAGAAATGGTTGAATTTAGGTATATGGTATGTTATATGAATTATGTTAAGAATTTTACAAGGAATCGGAAAATAAATTTATACATAGGGTGATCCATTGAAAAAAATAAACTTTTTGTTTTTTTTCTGTAGGTATACTGATCAATTTTCCAATTTTTCGAATACGTAGAAAAAAGTATTTTTCAGTACCTACATAACCACACTTTTAAATTTGTTGAGACACTTAAAATAAAAAAGTTAAAAGGGGGCGACATTATAGGGGATCACCCTGTACAGCATAAAATTGTGACTTAAAATCATTTTTGTATTTTTTTATTAGTTATTGTGGGAGATATAATAAGCTAATTACTAAACCACTGTAAACCCTGACCGGCCTACAGTATATACGAAACACGTTACTTATATATTAATATTAAGTGAAAAGTTTGACGTTTTCCCTTATGATATTTTAACTTTACATTTTATGACCTATCAAAAATGATATAAAATGTCAAATTTCAAAACAAGTAATATCTACAATGTGTGATAACTTAACCTTGTAGTAGTGGCGCCTTATATTTAACATTGGTGGTGGCGCCCGGCCTGTCAGGCCCGTAAATTTAAAAAAATCATATTTATGCTAGTATTTTTTCTTTGTGAATTTTTTACTTTTAATTTATTACTTAATCCTATTGTGACCAAGGTCCCTGATTTTTTTTAACAAAAAAACCTCATATGTTTGAAATATGGGGTTAATTTTATGGGGACAGGATTATAAGGTGACATAATATTATTTCTCAAAAAACTAAATAAAAAATGTATTCTACCAAAAAAACAACAAATGGTTTATAAGCTTGAATAACAAAATATCGTATTAAACGTGGTTTTGATTTTTTTCCACACAATTATGACACATAATTTTGGCATGGGTCATACATAGAAATTTTTGGCTATGAAGTGTGTGGTCCTTCTGTCTATGCGACATTCTGCACACCTTTTTCTGGTCCCAGGGGCAATTAGTTGAGGTTCAACATTATCGGTAGAAGTCTCAGCTACTTCTTGTCGCCTTTGACGTACCTCAGTTGGTAAATTTTGTTCCATAGAACGGCGTTTCAAATGCTTCTACTAGGACATAGCGCCGTTCTTCAAGAGCTTTCGCATTAATAATTTGAATTATTAGCAGTGTGTATTACTTGGGCATTTATTCCAGCCACATTCATTAGCCCATAAAATATGACCATATTGGATAGAATAAAGTATAAAAATATGCTAAATAATTAATATACCACAAAATAGTCGTATAACATAAATGGTGGCGCCCGGCCTTTCAGGCCGTTTTAGGTTATAACTTTTTAAGTTAGAACTGTAAGTAAATAAACATTGCACTACACCTTTCTACGCAAAAAGTTAGAAAGGTACTGAAAAATTCAGAGTTGTCTCTTAATTATTTTCATAATGATCCGCTAAATAAGATCGCTTGGAAAATAAAATATTTATATTTTTGTATTTTTATATGGGGTGTACTATGGCTCCCAGTCTTATTTTCTCAAAAATAATTTCTCAGTAAAAATTTCTGAAAGCAAAAATAACTCAGCAACTCAAGTTAAGAAATTCCGAATCCAAAATTTCTCACGCAAAAATGTCTTCGATACAAAAATTCTCAAAGCAAAAAATACAAAATATATAATAAATAAAGTAATAAAATTAAAACAAACCAACAAAACCCAATATCCAACCCCATTTTAAAAAAAAAATAAAAAATTGGCGAGTGCCAGGGTAAGTGGTAAACCAAATAAAGTTATAAAATTAAAACAAACCAACCAAACCCAACACCCAGCCCCACAGGCAACCCAACACTTTTCAACATTTAAAATAAATTAAAAAGTAACTCTTACTGCGCCAAATCGTTACAACTATATAATCGTTATATCGATCGTATACGAATACTGTGAATACAGAAAGGACGCCCGGAAATCGACGATTTGAAAGTAAATATACCCTAAAGAATATACGTATTGAGCGACTCCCGCCCCTAGCGGTAAACGCGTTCAACTAATAATATACAAAATGTATACAAAAAAAAAGGTGTTACTATTATCTGGGCGCCCAGACAAAATGTGGTTCTTTGAACAGTTACGGTATCCTATGGGTCGTTTCTATAGCAAAACAACCGAGCGTCCGTATACGGACGCTCTGTTGGAGCCGGACGCTTGGAAGATAGGGATTCGTTAATGTACGGACGCTAGGATATTAGTAAGATGAATATATATATAAATATATATATATATATATATATATAAATATATATATATTCATTTTTTAAATTTATTATAAAAAATTGTATCATTAACTTAAAATAAAATTTAAAAAAAATTCAATAAGTATAAGTATTGGTTTTTGTATCATATCGATTAAGCAGACAATAAAAAACGAAAACTTTACCAGTATGTTTTAAAATAGAAACATCCATATGAAGGCTTATTCTATTTTTTAATTTACTTTTCTGAATTAAGTAATGTCCATTTTAATTTGGTAACTATAATAACGTCTTTTTATTAAAGGGTAAAGGTTTAATAATAAAACAATAATAATAATTATTATTATTTGATCTCTTACGTTTTTCAAATTGTTATCAATTATAATTAATAACAATTTGAAAAACAAAAGAGATCAAATCCCAGGTTCTCAATAAAAAAATCTGTCTTTTCCAAACCGTCAAAATTAACGGAAATCCGGTAAACATTAAGACACATTAAGAAGAGAGGGATACGTACCGTTGGCGGCGACAAATTAACGGTGGATCCCCTACGTTCCTGGGGACCGATGCTGGAGTGCCGACGTATGGGCAGGCCCCCTCCCGGGGTGCCGCCCGGCGAACTGGCGCACGACGGCGCGATCCTGATCTTGGGCGTCATCAGCGTGTTGTCGGATAGACGGCGGTTGGGAAAGGCGTTCACTACGCGCAGGAAGTTGCTGTCGGGAGAAGACGGTGATCCGCCGAACCACCAGCCGCCCAGCATGCCACCTGCAACGAAATTGTTTTTAATTTCTTATGTACACACTTTGCAATAGATAAGAACTGATTTAAGTTTGATTTTTAGATTTTATTTTTATTTTCTTTATGGGTGGATATCTAGATGTGATTAAATAATAATCAAGAATATAATGTATTCTGAGCTTTACCAAGGGTAACATTCTACAGGGTGTCCAGAAAAGGTAGGGGGTATTTGTAAATTTAATAAAAATAAAACTACAAGTCAGAAAAAAATATTTTTCTTTTTGAATTTTTAGACAAAGTTTTGGAAAATTAAGTCCCAAAGATTTTGTTGTCCAAATGTTGACCCTCGCACTGCTGGTATTCCTCTAACCGAATACGGAAATTAACTATCACGCGTCTACTCATGTCTCTGATAACAACGGCGATTTCGTTGCGGATGTTGTGCTTCAATTGCAGGAGAGTGGTCTATTTTTATAAACTTTCTTTTTAAGGTATCACCATAAAAATAATCAAGTAATGAACAAATCATTGGGCCTTAAATTTTTGAAAACCGACGGTAAACAGGTTAACCGTTCACTGCAGTGAACGGTATTGCGACATGTTAGAGAAACTTTTTGACTCCAAAACTGCAGAAGTTTGAAGGTTTTTATGTGGAAACATGGTTTCAACAAGATGGGGCCCCTTGCCACCCCTTAAATCAGTCACTTGAGGTTTTCAATCAAATTTTCACGAAAAAAGTGATCTCTCGACGTGGCACCATTAACTGGCTTCCGAGAAGCGCCGATCTTACACCATTTGATTATTTTTGTATGAGGAAACCTTAAAGATAAAGTTTATAAAAACAGACCACGAATTTTTCTGCAATTGAATTACAAGAGCCGCACCGAAATGGCCGCTGTTTACAGAGATATGTGCAGACCTGCAATAGTGAATTTCCGTTTTCGGTTAGAGGAATGCCAGTAGCGCGAGGGTCAACATTTGTACAACAAAATCTTTGGCACTTAATTTTCCAAAACTTTGTCTAAAAATTAAAAAAAAAAAAATTTTTCTTACTACCTCGACTGAAAATACGTTGTTTCGTCCCCGATTCCACGGCAGAAAGTTTACGTTTCTTGCATTGGTCAAGCTATACGCGCACACTCTATAATAGCGGGAGTAAAAATTTTTTAGTCGTGTGCTTAACATATGCAACTCTGATTACGACACTAATATAATCTCAAAATTTGGGCAGGCATTAATATGTTCCGATATACACATTTAATTTTTCCCGTATTTTCCCCTACCCTTTCTGGACACCCTGTATTATCCAAAATTCATCTTACAGACTGTTAGATAAATTTTGAATTTTGAATAATGCGCTCGCAAACTTTGTGAAAGTGATTTTTTGTATGTGATGTAAGTGATGTGTTTAATATAGTTTTATTATTTAAATGTATTTGAATTTAATGGCAAATATTAATAAATTAAATTATTATAATAATTGTCAAAATGTTCACTCATTATTGTAAAGAATACAATTTTCTGCATTACCCCCGTGCCAAATTCATATAAATTGTGGAAGAAATAGAACAAATTTCTATCGGTGTTTAGGTTTCAAAAACGCGCCACCTCTGTATCTGATAACATATTCTTAAAATATTAATTAAAAACTACTTTTTAATGTATTTTAAAGTAAAACTCCTTTAGAGAGGTGGAAGTCCGAAAAATAGAAGAGTTTAATTTGACACGTTTAATATGTCACTGAAAATATGACACGCTTTTAAACTCCCGTATCAGGAGTATCAGGAGAGATGAAGCCGCAGAAGTTGTCATTTATTTTGCTGTAATAGAAATACCTATCAAAAATGTAAGGATCAAAAGAGCATGAAATAGCACATTTTATTTATTGGCTTTGAAATATAAGTGTTTGAGAAGTAAAAAACGGTGAGTTTCAAATTTTTTTAATATTTTCAAAATACAAATTTACAAAATTTACAACCAGTTACTGGTTAGTAAATAGTCAATAGGTAGTCACCCAATGACAAAAATTCAGTTACTGATTAGTTTATCAGTAAGTGAATTTTTTTTATAAATTTCTAACAGAAAATAATGAAATATGTAATAACAACACAGTTTTAATCATTACTCTAAAACTTGAATTCTATAGGATATATGAATATATATATATATATATATATATATATACATATATATTTGTGTTTGTCCTATTGTGTATCAGTCCTTCGAAGGGACTTTAAGCCCGCGGTCTGTTTCTACCCCTAACCCGCTCAGGCCATTCAGTTGGTTTCTGATACTTCTTGGGAAGTAAGGGTGGAACTAAAATAGCACTTTTGTATATGATACATCAGGGCTCTAATATTAAACAAACAAAACTCCATTTAATTGACATTTTCAGAAACTAAAAAGTACCTAGTATTACTTCGAAAAAATTTTGGTATGATATTTGATCTGGGCAAACCACGTTGGTCCGGCGTGCCGTCAATAGGAGACAGCGGCCATCAGGCAGCCGACTGGCCAAAAAAACTACAGACGTTCTGGATTTGTTCAATCCCAAGAATTTTCTATGAACGTCTCATAGGTTATTTTTTATTATATGTAGGTCCTGAGATTTTAACACTCTTAGATCCAAAGTCAAGTCAAAAATATTTATTTCTTAATTACAGGTACATGAGTGGAGCATTATCAACTATCAGTAACTACTGATAGTTATTAATAAAGGGAAATATAAATAAGTACGAATAAGTATTTTAACGTTATAACGTTAAAATTTGACGTTACTGATAGGTATATTCATATTGATATTCCCCTTTATTCATAACTATCAGTAGTTACTATTTTTGTAATTTTAACAGTACCTATACTGTGTTTCGGTTTGTCAAATCCAGTTTAATAGGTGTCAGACAGTCAGTTTGAATCAAGTAAAAATGTTATTTTTCGTGCTTTGACAACTTAATAATAATTAGTTTTGAATTTCCCGCTTCGAAACGGTAGTGGGGAAAATTATTAATATTTACTAACTTTTTAGTGAAATGTTTCAAAGTAAACCCCCTTTCACATAGCTCCGTAATAGTTAGGGATAATGTATTAACTGAAAGACTAAAACAAAAAATATTTGTGCTTCTAGAACTTCATTTTAGATTTATTTAAAAGATATAACGGTAAGCTATTAAAAACACTTACGTAAACACAGAGTGTGAGAATGCGAGACATTTTTTAAAACCTTAGTAATTAATGTCATACATTCATTAAAAATATGCAGCGGTTACTTTATTGACGTAGTGACAGTACAATAATAATAAAAACGTACCATTATTTCTCCCAGTCATAATGACAGTATTTAAGTTAGTAATTAGTAATAAATTATAAGAGAAGCAGTACCTTTAAGTGCAATTTACCAACACAGATCAAGTAATTATAATTCTTAAACTTTGACTGGTCACCTGATAAAAATTAAACATATTGAAGTTGATTTAAAGTTGTTTCATATTTTACATATATTTAAGAATTCAAAATTCCCTAAATTTTGTCAAAATATATTATTAATATATAAATCACTTACTTCCGGGCGCTGGAAGCGCTTTCTAGGCTACAGTCGCGACCTCGAAAATCGATTATCAGTTGCCAAAGTTGGGTTGACGCCGGAAATTGATTATGGTCGGTCTGACGTCGCGACGTCAGACCGACCATAATCAACGCGTCGGCCCGATGTAAAAATGCGGAAGGCCGACGGAAGATCGTTTGTCGAGAAGGTATGATATTTTTAACTAATCATTTTAACTGGATTCGATAAATTTGCTAATAAAAATTTTTGGAGTTTGCAGTTTTTGATATTAGACCCCTTATTATAATACAATAATAATAATAATAATACAATATAATGGATAATACACATATACTATTTATTGTCTCCTTCAGAAGTTTCACTTTAAAATAAGGCAATTTTAATGCAATTATTTATAAAGTTTGTTATTTTAATAACAATTAATGGTTATAATTAATAAAAATTATTTGATGTGGATTATTTAATTTTACAACCAGCCAAGTCCATAACGATACATTTTCAGAAGAGCAAAAAGTCCAATAGGTAGTAGCAGTGGCGTAGCGTGGTTGTTGGCCGCCCGGGGCGGAAGACAATTTTGCCGCCTTCATATTTAGGTACTTTAATTTAATGTATACATCACATTACATACATTAATTCTAGAGAAGACTTAAGATTAGGTACAAATTGACGATCGACAAGATTACATAATTAGTGAATATAAAACGCAAATCAATTAAAAAAAAAACTAGAACTATAAATTTTTATTGAAAAATAATATAAGTACTCATAAAGTTCCGTGCTCTTTTGAATCGGTCCGAATTTGTAGTTGAGATAAAGATATGAAATGGTTCAAATATTTTTATTAATTATTGTGAAATTTTGCCGCCCCCTAAAAAGTGCCGCCCGGGGCGGGCCGCCCCTGCCGCCCCCACTACGCTACGCCACTGGGTAGTAGGTATATTTAGTAGATACTATTGTAAATTACTCTGAAACAAAAGTTATTGACAGTTCCCAGACAGCAATATGACGTCTTAATTAAGTCTGCATAAGCTCTATTTTATGATTTGGACGTCAAACACAACATCAGAAAGAAATTTTTAAGAAGTTCTTAAGACTTCGAATGCGCCACCTATTGAACTAATCAAGACTTCTCAAAAAAGAACTCTTGAGGAACCCTTTTCTTTGACTTCGCAATTAAGCATTTTAAAGAGTTCTACTGTATAAACTTATAAAAAGACTTCTTTAGAATTTCCCGTTTTGGATAAAGAAGTACTACTCGGGTACTGATGAAAAAATTACATACTGGATCGTTGCTTATTTTGACATGTCAAGTTTATTTTATTAATTTTATTAATTTTTTAAATTGATTTTATTAAAATCATTTTAATAATTTGCTCGTATTCGCTTATTTTAGGAATTGCGATTACTTCGTCTCACTTTTGTTTAAATTTAAGCGTGCTCTTCACCGGCACCGATAGACGCTCTT